TTATTACCAGGAAATACGTCATGTACTGTCGACCTGTACTGTCTACATTCTCACTTTGCACATACATAACTGCACATTGACTGTTGACTGCTGCACATGCTGCTCCTATGTAGCATACATTCTTTTATTATATTCTTTTATATTTTTATTATATCTCTGCATTTGCTGCTTAAAGTGCCTTAGATTTTGTGTTACTTATTTATCTACTTCATATTTCATTTGTATTTTGTGGCATTCATGTGGACGGCAAAGTAAGAATTTCATTGTACAGGGAAACACATTTCCTAACTGTGCATATGACAAATAAACACTTTGACTTTTGACCTTGATTTGTGACTTTGGTGAAGATCAGATCACATTCCATCATATTTTATACAGAAAACCAGGAAACTGCAAACAGTGCCATTACTTTTTCTTGTGACTGTTTATTTGTTATAAATGCTAAATAATGGGATTTGAAATATTGCCAGAAAGTATTATGCAACATGACCTGCTGCTGTAAAGATACATCCCCAGGATTACTGCCTCCAGACATTTGATTGGCAGAGCCTCCCGTGTCATCTCCTTAGCGATGTCCATCAACCTGTGCAGAGTAATTGAACAGCAGAGTAACACTTTTCATGTAATTCTGTTATAAGACATTGGCGACTGTAGTGCACATGACATGAATACAGTGCTACTGATTTCATCCAGAAAAAACAAAAACATTTTCCATGAGCCAGGGAAATCAAATCTGTGCTACTAAATTGAATAAAGAGAGGCCAGGGAAAGTGTGTTCCTCTGGAAGAGAATTAAGGCCTCTGTAAAAAAAAAGAAGAAAAAAAGTATTTGTATTTATGTATTTAAAAACATCAGAATCCTGGGCTGAACAACACATACAGCTTTTCTACATGCATAAGGACATGCTACATCATATGAAATCAACAAACACTGCTGTTGCCATAAACCTATGTCTAACACTGATGATCTGTCTTTGATTAAAGGAACGTTTGCTTACGCAGTTAGAGGCCGGCTCTTCTTAATTTCAAAAAACTGTGTCCCCGTATGATTGTACCTGCAAGATAAAGTTAGGGTCATACCATAACAGAGTGATGTCAACCTGCCTTGGGGGAACATGTGCTGCATTCAGTGAGGAGAAGAAAGAACTGCTTAAAGCGCTTTGTGATAATCATAGGTTATTGGTTAATTATGGATGAATTTCTACTCTGACTGGAAAGCTTTTACTTATTATAGATTATCTATGCTGGTCTAGTTTTCAAAGTTTGGCCCATATTTATCACAGTCTGCCAAAACAGTGGGTCAAAAGGTAAGTATTATACTAGTAGTGTGTACCCTTACATCCATATTGGTAAGATCAGTGTCTTTCTATCTACATATTCTCAAAAATATTCACATAGATGCAGTAATTGTTGTTTTGGTCCTAACCGACCAGTTATACCAGCTTAGTCAAAGGATACTGCAATTCCCTGATGTATTTCTGTATGGCTTCCAGGCGCTGTGGGATAGTGGTGGTAGGTTGGTATGTAGGCACACTTGGTATTGGAATCTGTCAGACAAAGCATCCAAACAACTGCATTACCATGACCCAATACCAATATTCACTGCAGCTGGAGAATGAAGTCTTATTTGAACTCTGTGCTCTTCTCTATTCAGTTTAGCTATCTTAACTGGTCTCATGAGAAATGAATAAAAGGCACTATTCTTTTCTATCTTAAACATCTGTGTGCAGGGTTGACTGGGCAAGATGTATTAAACTCAAAGAATTAATCAGGAAAATAATCATTTTAGAGTGGACTGAAAAGCACATGACTTTCTGTTTTTACAGTCTGTGAGTTAACACATGGGTCTAAATTGTTTAGTCATGCACATGTAAGGTTCACATGGATAATGTGGAACTTATTTCCATCATAAATAATCAGCTGCAGCTGATCAACCAAATATTATTTACTATTTTCAGCTAAATATTTACCTTGGGCAGGTCAGTGGCATCCCGGATGTCCTTCGCCAGAGCTTCACCATTGGGATGGATTCGAGCCACATGACGCCACATCCTCTCCCAAGTCTCCTTGTCCACCGGGAGGCCTCCTCTGTTCACGTATAAAGGCACCCCTCCATCTCTCAACTCTTCTTCACCTTCGTCCTCCTGCTCCTCGTCCCTCTCCTCCATTGAGCTGACAGTGGCCCTCAGCATCCCTCCTCCACCAGGAAGCTGACACAGCCCTGGCACAGAAATATCCTGACTGATGCCTCAGACCCTTCCACTGTTTAATCTGCTTGCAGGTTTATGTAGGTTGCCTCAGCAGATGGCCAACTCATGAGGTCCAGCAGTTTTTACTACCAATGTCTCCAGGTAAAGTCAAAGCACTGAATGTGAAGACTATCTGCTGTAACCTCTGTGGTTGAAGCAGCTGAATGTGAACCAGTGATTTAAGAAGTCAATTACAAAAAATTTTAAAAGTTTTTTGTTAAATAAAAAATTTCTGTAAACCAGCTACTCAGCACTTTGGTAAAAAAAATATAGTAGACTACAGGCCACTCAATAATCAGCTATTCATTTATCCTATATAAATAAATTAAGACACTAAGGTGATTTTAACAATAAAATTTGTCGCCTATTTTTAGTGACTATACAGAGAATGCCCATCATTACAGTGGAACGCTATCACAGTCTACAAGAGGAATGACTGCAGACAAAGTATTAGAACTGAATAATTCCCACTACCGTTAGAGGTCATTCGTACCACAGCTGTCCAGTAAACCACTGCTCCTGTACATCCTTAACACGACATTCCTCATACATCCAGTTCATGTCCGTTTCACTAAATGGTTTCCTTCGCAAAATCCACCGGGCGCCGGTTCATTGTTCCTGCAGATGCTCTTTTTGGCTTCATTGAATGCGGGTTAGATTCACGTCCAACGAGTTGCTCAGACACTCCCAGTGCTGCGCATGCGCGGTTGATCTCAGCTGTGACAAGTGTTGCATTCAGGTGCTCTTCGTAAAGTGTAAATCTGTTTAGGAGCTTTAAATTATAGGATCAAAACGCACAAACAGTGTAGTGTTTGGCGGTGTAGTGGAGGGATTAAGAAAATGATTTATTTCATAGGATATGCAGGTCTAAAAAATAGATGTTTTGATCACTTACATGTGATAACAAAGAGTGAGAATGTAGTTTAAATTCCATAATGCGTGTCAGTCGACTTAGTGATTATTTTTTTCAAGCTATTTTAGTTCAAATTTACATAGACTTACTCATATTTTCCATTTCAATTAATTGTATTATAGAGCACAAAAAGAAGTAATACAATTAATTTCCACTGTAGTTACATTTAGAACTTCAAAATATGATTAATAATACAGAAGCTTTAATAGGCTACAGAACTGTGTAAAAAAATGAACCTATGATTATTCTAAATCATCTTCCCCAAGGTAAATCTTTGCCCCTATAGCAAATGTGCTTCTTCACATTTGGCGTGTTTGAAAAAGGAGGCCAAAGTCACTTTGCATTAAAACAATTCATTTATTCATTCTCAGGGTAACACACAAGCCATCCTCTGCAAATCAAACTTCAAGGCCTAACAATAACCGATATGCAGTAACTGATATACCCAAAAGGAAAGTAATATTAAAGAGGAATCTTCTGTCTATTTACAGGTCCAGCTCAGGTGGAGAAATATTAAAATCTTGGTGCACCATAGTCATCAGGCATCCTTTCAATATTGTACCTGTATGAATAAATAAACAAGTCAGTATAACTGCATTTTGATGAAGCTGGGCAATTTCTGCAAAACACACAAAATGCTGCCACATCATTTAAACCCAATCTGGAATAGTGTCACCTGTGGTTTGAGATGTACATGATGGGAACTCCGGGGATCTTCCTGACCCTTCTCTTTAGATCTCTGTCCACAGTCGCCAGGATGTAACACTTGTGCTGTGAAAATATACATATGTAATTGATATCTGTTCTTTGGTACCAAAACTACACAGTGTTACATGACATACATTTACCCACTATAATGACAGTATGGCTATTCAGACTCTAGCAGTTTACTGCTAACTAAACCTAACCCTAACCCTTACACTAGATAGATGTCTGAGCCTAATGTTTTGCTAACACAAAAGTATAGGTAAGTAACTGTTTATTTACAATTAGTGTTTGTATTTCACTTTTTCACTTTCAAAACAGGTTTTTTTTTTCCTGATGCAAGGAAGAATGTAACTAACTAGATGTGATGCCTTATCGCCACATTTGTGAATCCAATTTCCTTGTTACTATACCATTTACAACATCTTCACAAAACCTTGTTACTTTTTTCCTAATTTGCAATCACTATGTTTGTATTTGTTATCCGACACCGTTTTCAGTTTCACAACTGCTTACAGTAAAAACTGACCAGGGGCTACATTCAATCATATCTGGAAATGCAACTATAATGCACATCTTTCATAATGTGATTTTTACTTTTTCTATACAGAATATATTGTAGTATTTTATATTTACATATTATACACTACAGTATTATTCATGAATTTCTTTTCTGTTAGTATGCTAGGCTGCCATCAGGGGTTAGTGTGCTGCTAATACAGCATTTCAGGTAACTGTTAGTTCAGTGTTATCAATATGTTCTGTTGCTTTTATTCTGCATGAACTATATGCATGCTATTATGGTATGAAGTGAACATTTACAATGTATGTACGGCAACCACTGTATGTTACCTGTGTTACCCTTTGCACTAGACAGTCATCAGCGTATGTCCCCTTGTGTGTGCATGGAAGGCGCTCAAACCTTGGATCCTTTGCTATCCTACGAAAACAAAACAAGCAAATATTGTAATAATGAAAAACCAACGTTGGAATCAAGGTCAAAGTGTTTATAAACATCGACATCTGTGGTATGTCTAAGGCCTCCAGTTCCTTGCAAGTTCAAAGTTCAAAGTGTTTATTTTGTCATATGCACAGTTAGGAAATGTGTTTCCCTGTACAATGAAATTCTTACATTGCCGTCCACATGAATGCCACAAAATACAAATGAAATATGAAGTAGATAAATAAGTAAAATCTAAGGCACTTTAAGCAGCAAATGCAGCAATATGATAAAAATATATTAGAATATAATAAGAGAATGTATGCTGCATGGGAGCCGCATGTGTAGCAGTCAACAGTCAATGTGCAATTATGTATGTGCAAACTGAGAATGTAAACAGTACATGACGTATTTCCTGGTAATAAACTCCTCAGCTGTTTAGGAGTCTGATGGCAGAGGGAAACTTTCCTACACACCCTGTGGTGGTAAATGCTCTGCAGAGAGGGCAGTGGAGTCCTGGTGATCTTCTCCGCAGTCTTTACCACTCTCTGCAAGCGCTTGCGGTCCATAGTGCACAGCAGTAGTGCTGCCATACTAGACAGTGATGCAGCTGGTCAAGATGCTCTCAATGATGCAGCTGTAGAAGTTGCAAAGGATCCTAGGCGACAGCACAAACCTACCCAGGAAGTACAGCCGCCATTGGGCCTTCTTGACCAGCTGTGTGGTATTAAGTGTCCAAGTGAGGTCCTCGCTGATGTGGACGCCCAGGTATTTGAAGCTGCTCACCCTCTCCACTTCGAGCCCCCGGATGAACAGTGATGAGATGAGATCTCCTCTCCTTTCTCAGGTCCACTATCATCTCCTTCCTCTTGTCGGTGTTGAGGCTGAGATTATTGTCCTTGCACCATGACAGCAGGCCGGCCACCTCCCTCCTGTAGGCTGCTTCGTCCCCGCCAGTGATGCGACCTATCACTGTCGCGTCGTCCGCCACTTTGTGGGTGAGTTTGTGGGGGACAACTGTGTTGAAGGCGGAGCTGTATTAGCTAGGAAGAGGTTTGGTAATGGCGGTGGACTAGCGCGAGCTTTTAGCCTAGCATGGAGTCCTCCTCGTCTGCCCCATTTGCGTCTCCATCTCCGGGTTGCTCTCCTGATTTCAGCCTGTTCGCTTGTGCCAGGTGCTCCCTGAGGGTGACGGTGGTTGTAGTCCTTGTTGTTGTTGTTGCAGGAGCGGACAATGAGTTGTAGCTCCGGTGGTATGAAACCAGTAAATTCCCAGTGGCTTTGTGAGTTGGCGATATCCAGCAATGCCTGTCTGTTGTATGTAAGCAGTGCATGACATTTGTGCACTGCAGAAAAAGTAAAAAACACACAAAAAAGAAGAAAACGAAGAAAAAGCCAGCATTCGAGAGTGGAATGTGCAAACATGTCTGCTTTGGTGGGTGTCATGTTGCTGCAGTGTGGTAGGTTGATAGGTTGATGTTCCCATTCTAACATTTCATCTCCAGTATCTTGTACCTGAGTGCAACTCTGTACTTCATTCCAAGCTTTTCAATCTCAGCCATCACACAATCCGTGATATATGGGATACCTGGGATTGGATAAAATTATGGGGAGAAAAAAAAGTCAAATTACTTTTTAAATTTAGAATGATTTGACATAATTTATTTAAATTAGTGAAACATTTTGATACTGTATATAATAAATATGAATATATTATTATACTTGTCAATACTTAGCAATGGGCAATAATACTTACATTTGGCATACAGGCAATCCATCATAGACTGAACAATGTCTAATTTGGCCTTGATGGAGAAGTTGATGAAATTGGTGTCAACCAGAATGTGGTATGGCGGACCAAGCTGGGTATTGTACTGGAAGAACAAGCATGATGGGTACTTTGGCCTGCACAAACAAATTCAGAGAAAACAAGTCCCTGAGCCATCAGACACTACTAGCGTTCAATTTAAACGTTTGTGTGGTCAACTTACACTTCTCTCTCCTTAAGTGCTGAAGGATCTTCCTTCTTTTTCTCTTTTGCTTTAGCACGGTCTTTTTCTTTCCTACAAAACAAACAGGGTATTATACAGCTTTAAAATCCCGTAACACATGAAATTACTTCATTCTACTGGATTAAATATGTTAGATGGACTAATATACTTAATGGCAGTGAAGCAGCTAGACAAAAAGTACAAATATTAAAAACAAACCAGTACTCACAATCTTTGATCTTTCAAACTGATCATTCTCTTCATTGCAGCGTACTTCCTTGTTTTCTGCTTTCCCTAAATTAAAACAATTCAAAACACGTAGAAATCGCTTAGGATATATTAATCACAAACAACATTAACGTTATACACTATACAAATTCATATGAGGGTAAGAACTTATTGTATTTGTGACAGTGGCTGGTTTGAAGCAAAGTCCAAAAGAACATTGTCACAAGCTCTTTATTGATCGGACAAAATATCGTGTGTCCCAAAACTAAAAAATATAACAAAACAAGGGTCTTAAATGTCGATCGATTGTTCTAACTTCTACTACAACAAATTCATTAGTTAGATACTGAGAGGTTAAATAATACTTTTGGTTTCCTCTAATGGTCGCAGCTTTTGGGGAGTCGGTTGTGTTTTGAAAATGCTCAGAGCAAGCGCTTAACACTTATGAATGCAAACTATAACGTTTTATTCAGTTGAATACTCATTTTAGCATACGTTGTTTGTGTTAGCTAACTTAGCTCAGTGGCCTTAGCTTCAGCGCCTAATTAATAATATGCAAAATAACATAACCTAACAACATTAATTATCAAAACAACAATGATGTGACTGTAACGTGGTTATCGATTACATACCATTCTTTAAATACAATACCAAAGATCTAATTAGATGACTGAAACTTGTTCCTACTTTCCTCGTGTATCCAATGCAGTTACCGGTGACGCAATCATAAATCGACACTTTTACTGCGCATTTTCCGGTGGCCAAGCTACAAAGGTAAAGGCACAAATTAAAAGACACTTTTTTTCCCCCCACATTTGTAGTTTTGCTTTGGGTCGTTGTGTTCTTGCAAGCTGTGTCTTGTGAACGCGTCATGATAGCCACCGTAGGTTGGCGACGAGTTTTCTGAAATTGTTGGCTAACTTGGCTAGCGGTTATCATTGTGCTGTCTTTCGCTAGTCAACTTATGCCGCAGTAGCAGGTTGCCAGACTGATGCTAACAGTTGTTATCCTCTAGCTTTAGCCCTCAAGTTGGCAATATACTGGCGATAATCGATGCTGTTGCAGTTAGCCTGTTTGTGTTCCACTCCCAGAGTTTTCTGTGTTTTTTGAGACGTAATTCAAGCAACTGTCCGGTGAACTTTATTAAAGCTCTTCGGACAGGTCATTTAGCTCTCTGGTTGTTGATGACAGTGCCAGTGAATGATAACGTTTGACACCTAAGCTAGCACCTCTAGGGCGCTCATTATTGTGTACCATTTCCATCATCCGGATTCGTGGGATCTGATGGGATTTATAGTGTAACTGTAATCGGCCATGTTACTTTGACTCTGATCGTTTGTCCTAGCCAACAGAGGCTGGTGATGGCATTATGACCTTTTAACCAAGTTGTTTATACACATGTCAGGGCCGTGGGTTGTATGGAATATTATTTCCTATCAGACATCCTATCTCTAAGGTGACACTTTTTATTTTCATGCTTTTTGGCTCCTCATAATATGTCTAATGAAAGCCTCGTCTTTCATCCTATTCTTGATCTGTTTGTGATGAGACTAAGCAGTTTTGTCTTGCATTGTAGGAGACTTGACTGGACCCCTGTGCATCACCGTGTTCCTTTGAGCTTAGAGTTGTCTGAGTGAAGGCTGAACGATGGTCTGATGGACCGCCGCTTCTTCCTGACCTTCATCTTCTGCTCAGTGTTGTGGATCTTCTTCTGGGAAGTGCGCTGGAAGAAAGGCAAAGAAAGCCAAATTGAGCAATGGCTCCAAGGACATAGCCTCTATCAATATAGGCACTTGTTTGAAGGTCAGTGGGGTTAGTTGTTTTTTTATTTGAGGTTCAAAATACAGCACAGATATTCAGTAGATGGTTGTAGCCAGGTGTATTAAGCATATGTAGCTTAAGTGACACGGACAACTAAATGTCTGGAAGATATGTTGTTTTTTGCAGAAAATTAAACACATTTGGGTTAGCATCATTTATTTAATCCTGTATCTGTTTGAGTTTCTGCAGAAATGCCAGAGATAAGTGTCATGTTTAAATGGATTTGAGGTATGCTTAAAAAATTGTATTACTTTGACATTATTATTGTTATTTGGTTCTGAAACATTAAATATTCTGGCTCATGAGCTACAAGTATCACAGACAGTTGGCACAGGCCTATGCTTGGCATTACTAATGCTGATTTGCCGTGTTGTTCACGTGTTTTCCAGATGTACAGACGCTGGAGGAACTGAGTCTGAGTGTACTGAGTCGCCTGGAAGAGGTGGTGAAGGAACAGGAGCACTGGAGGGAAATTGCAGAGGCCCACATCCAGCTGCTCCGAGACTTTGCCTTCCAGGAGTGGCTTTGCTCCCAGAACCTGGAGCACTATTACCATACGTAAGCAATGAAAGGTCTTAACTGTAACAGTTACACTAATCTGGCAAATAGCTGTGAGCAGCCTTGCTTTTCTGAAACAATTACTTGTTGGCATGTGATGAACGTAGATGTTTCTCCTAAAATAGCTTTTTTTAATGTCTTGAATTGGTTATGTGGTCGTGGCCATGTCTTATTCTGGTTAACAAAGGCTCTGTTTATTTATGTCCACTTGAGAGCAGCCTTTCTATTCATGGTTAGCTGAGTGTGCTGATACTGAGCTATGGAGGCTGCAGAAGGTCACTGCAGTAAAATTATTCTTTTGAGACCTAGTGTGAGACCTTGCAGCAATGCAGATGTTTGTGTATCCTCTCCCTCACTCAGAATCAGCTACATTAAGTTCTTATTGCTTTATCAAAATGTTTCCTGTTAATTCTGCCTCTGTGTGAACAAAGTCACTTGTAATGTTTCTAAAAGTCAGTTGTGTTTAGCAAACACAAAGTAGTATGTTTGTAAGGAAAACAGTTAATCATTTCTAAAGGGATGCAGTGTCATGTTTCTGAAGGTCATAACTGTCACACTATCACTGCCTGTGATTCACTGCACTTTGAACCTGTATTACTCACACAGTTATGCCTGAGCTTCAATTCAGTTGCTAACTGTAGTGGTGGAAGATGATCGTTGCATTTATTTGTAGGCTAAAAATTTTATACTGTAAATGGGGAAGTTCAAGTTGCAGACTAACTTTTAAGCCTTTTGTTTCTTCTAGTGTAATCGGGGGAATGATAGAAAAATACACTTATATACTGGAAAATCAAAAGAAGATCAAACTTTAGTAAAGCATTTTCCTCAGCAGACCATTCCCTGTGTTAAAGTTTTAGTAAGAGCAGATGCAACACGCGCTGCCACCCCACTAAAGAGTTAAGATTGAGTTTCACAAAAGCTAGCGTCTGTTTGGTGTGTGGGGCAGCCTGTTGTGTGCAGTTAAGTCCTTAGTTTTGCTCAATCAACTTTGAGGAACACTTAGCAGAGATGGTAGAGTTGTAAAGGCTGTACTTATAAAGTAATTAACTTCGTCAAAGATGTTTGGTTTTTGTTTCTGTTTGTTGGTTTGTTCACAACATAACTCAAGAAGTTATAAATAGATTTTGATGAAATATTTTGGAGAGGTAGGGGATTGTCCATGGAACAAACATTACATATTGGTGGTAATCTACAAGGTTTTTAGTGGCATTTACAGGTAAACTGATGTGCCTTGGCAGAGGTTTGCACTCTCTGACTGCTGTCTAGGTTCACAGTATTACCTGTCCTGTCAGTTACCTACTTCTTATGCTTTCACTTTTGTTTTCCACTGCAGGCTGAAAACCTTGGGCTGTATGAATCTGGATGATCTATCTGAGTTTGACAGTCAGCTGCAGCTATCTCTCGCTGCCTGGGGCTACTACTACGAAGACTACATTAAACTGTCTACAGGCATCAAGATCCTACAGACCTCCAGGAGTCGTCGTGACCAGGCCTACGAGAACCGGCTGGTGCACAGCTTTGCTGAGAGGCATCTGAATGAGAAGTGGTCATTCGGTGAGACTCTGGTTGTTTTATGCTTTAGAGTGGTTTCAGTATTGTTTTCTATCTAGAGGTGGTGAGGTGCCAAAAGGCATTTAGACACAGATAGGCTGTTGTGCTGCTAAGTGATTTCACAATGTCAATACATAAGTCATTTCAATGTTCAAGTGTTTTTATAGAGAATTTCACTGTTGCTTCATCTCTTTGTACAGCTCAACATCTGTTTCTTTTTCTCTTTGTCATAAAAACACAATAGTCAGTCATGTTCAGGATAAATGTATTCTGATTACATTTGCCAGATTATACCATTCCTAATACACAGCCATATCCTTTGTTATATTGGCATTCTTGACCAGGTGTTTTCAAGTTCAAAACTACACACTTGTATCACATAATTTATTAGCATTTGTTGTCACTTCAGTTTATAGAAATCATGTACAATTTAGTGTTGCCAATGAATAACCTGGGGTAATGTAATCATGAAATATCTTAAAAGCAAGTAGAACCATCAAAACAGAGCTACTAGGCTCAGAGTAGGAAGTCAGTATTATGCTTGTTTTAATTATTGATCGGTAGAATGTGCAATTGTCTTTTCAGCGGGAGCGCTCATATTTGGCTGTACTGTGGCGCTGTGCTTCTTGATAAGAGACCTCATGTTTTACGTGATTGGTGAGTTGTGTGTTTGCTGTTGGGGTTAGGCTGGTTCTGAGATTATCTCATTCTTACTCCTCCTGCAAGCACATGCTTTAAATGTGGTATGACTGATTTTACAAACATACCTCAGTGCTTTGTTGTAAAATTTTGTTCCATAAACCGTTGTCAAAATTTCATCTTGGCGCTGTTTTAATATTTGCTCAACTAACCAGTGAATCAACTTGTTTCAAAACCATTTTTTGCAAACATATGTTTCAGCAACTTATGTCTTATGGTTCTTCCCTACTTGTGGCAGGTGGAATTACTGTTTCCATCATAGCCTTTGTCTTTACCATCAAGTTCCTCTGTGAGCTTGCAGCAAGAGTGGTCAGCTTCCTGCAGAATGAGGATCCAGGGCGACGCGGTGACCGCAGCATCTACGACTATGTCCGGGGCAACTACCTGGACCCACGTTCTTGCAAGGTGTCATGGGACTGGAAGGAACCCCAGGAAGTGGGACAGACTATGAGCTTCAGAGTCCAGGTAATAACTGATTCCTAATATGTTGAAGCAAAAGATGTGTTGTACCTGTTGTTTTTAGTCTAATTAACTCTCTTAGGCTTATGCATTCAGTAGTAAGAAGAATATTTGGTTAGTAAAACTGTTGTCAGAAATGTAAAATTGACCTGTGTGTTCTTTGTATTTAATTTAAACTAGTTTTGTACTTCTGTCTTCTCAGCTTTTTTATAAGAATGGCCAGCCTTTCCCAGCCCATCGACCTGTGGGACTGAGAGTCAATATCACCCACATTGAACTGGCTCTTGACATCCCTGTTACACAGGAGGTTCTGCAAGAACCAGAGTCAAACGTAGTCAAAGTGGCCTTCACAGTGCGCAAAGCTGGACGCTATGAAGTCGCTGTCAAGCTGGGTGGCCTTAATGTGGCCTACAGCCCTTATTACAAGATTTTTCAGCCAGGTATTACTACTGTAGGTGTTTTGGATCCAACCCCTATTTTTCCATGTCTAATTACTGATTTGGCAAGTGTGTATTGCTGGTTAAGTGTTTTTTTGTTTGTTTTTGTTTACAACAGGCACAGTTGTCCCATCCAAAACCAAGATAGCCTACCACTTCTCCACCTTGGTGCTAACTATTGGCCAGCAGCACACTTTGCAGATTGAACCCAGGGACGAATATGGAAACCCCACCAGTAACTCTACATCTCTCACAGATGAAGCCAACTATAGTGTCCATGTGCACTCTGTAAGGCAACAAACCCCATTCTCTCTTATCCATTATACAGTGGGTACAGAAAGTATTCAGACTAGATTCATTACATTTTTCACTCTTTGTTATATTGCAGCCATATGCTAAAATCATTTAAGTTCATTTTTTTCCTCATTAATGTACACCCAGCACCCCATATTGACAGAAAAACACAATTTTTGACATTTTTGCAGATTTATTAAAAAAGAAAAACTGAAATATCACATGGTCATAAGTATATAAGTTTCCTAAGAGCACAGTGGCCTCCATAATCCTTAAATGGAAGACGTTTGGGATGACCAGAACCCTTCCTAGAGCTGGCCGTCTGGCCAAACTGAGCTATTGGGGGAGAAGAGCCTTGGTGAGAGAGGTACAGAAGAACCCAAAGATGACTGTGGCTGAGCTCCAGAGATGCAGTCGGGAGATGGGAGAAAGTTGTAGAAAGTCAACCATCACTGCAGCCCTCCACCAGTCGGGGCTTTATGGCAGAGTGGCCCAACGGAAGCCTCCCCTCAGTGCAAGACACATGAAAGCCCGCATGGAGTTTGCTAAAAAACACCTGAAGGACTCCAAGATGGTGAGAAATAAGATTCTCTGGTCTGATGAGACCAAGATAGAACTTTTTGGCCTTAATTCTAAGTGGTATGTGTGGAGAAAACCAGGCACTGCTCATCACCTGTCCAATACAGTCCCAACAGTGAAGCATGGTGGTGGCAGCATCAGGAATCTTAAGTGCAGCAGAAATTTTTTTGTAACCTTTGCCAGATCTGTGCCTTGCCACAATTCTGTCTGTGAGCTCTTCAGGCAGTTCCTTTGACCTCATGATTCTCATTTGCTCTGACATGCACTGTGAGCTGTAGGGTCTTAGACAGGTGTGTGGCTTTCCTAATCATGTCCAATCAGTATAATCAAACACAGCTGGACTCAAATGAAGGTGTAGAACCATCTCAGGGATGATCAGAAGAAATGGACAGCACCTAAGTTAAATATATGAGTGTCACAGCAAAGGGTCTGAATACTTATGACCATGTGATATTTCAGTTTTTCTTTTTTAATAAATCTGCAAAAATGTCAAAAATTCTGTGTTTTTCTGTCAATATGGGGTGCTGGGTGTACATTAATGAGGAAAAAAATGAACTTAAATGATTTTAGCATATGGCTGCAATATAACAAAGAGTGAAAAATTTAAGGGGGTCTGAATACTTTCCGTACCCACCGTACTTTATACTTTTTTGCTTCCAGTTGCATAGCCACTCACATTTGCAGAATTCTGAGCTGGGGTTGATGTGTGTTTTCCTCTTCTTCTAGCTGGGCACAGTGGATGACGATAGTATGGAGGAATATTACAGTAAGTCTGTTTCACTCAACAAACAGCAGTGCCAGGTCCTACTGAGACTCATCCTGAGGAAGGCTGGCTGTTTCAGGGCTCGCATCTCCTACAAGGACCAGCCACTCAGCAACGGGGAATTTGACATTATTGTTCTCAGCGGTGGGC